CACCAGATCCGAAAGAGACCGGCTGCTGCACGATGCTCTGGTTCCAGAGCAGCGGGACTGGCACTAAGCCTTGGTCACAAGTCCCAAAACACTTGATGTCGGGTGGGAAGCAGGTGAGATTCTGGCAGGGGCCCTGGAGAGAACAAATAACACTTTGTCTTTTACATGTATTGCAGGACAGTAAGGGGAGAGGAGCAAAGAGTGTCACAGTGGCCCATCACCAGGGCCTACAGGCACCCTTTGGGCAGCCACTCCCAGAAGCCCAGGGGTCTGTGCCCACCCTAGAACTGTCCACGGATCATGCTGCCCCAACATCATTTTCTCCTGGCAGCAATTCAGATGTTTCTTTATAGTCCAGAAGCTGACCCTCCCTCCCTTGACAAAGGGCAAATGTCCCCATGCACAACTGCCACCCACGTTCTGCAAAACTGCCCTATCATATGAGCACCTGAGAGGTGGGCTTTCCCCACCAGCATCCATCTCCCTGGCCTGCAGCCACCCACCCCCAGGCAAGCACTACCCCAGCCTATGTGCTCTCAAGCAAGCTTCATCTCTCAGGCCCTCCCCCCAGCCAGCCCCAGGACCCCCTTCAGGGCCTGACAGGCCTCTCACCTGGTCATGGGAGAAGGGCACCCCCAAGAAGTGGTCAAAGCCCTGGCGGATGGGCAGGAAGGAGCCAAGATCCCCAGGCCAAGATGCCACTTGCCAACCATGGCTGGGGCATAACCCTCAGCCTTCAGCACCTCTGCAATGGGGACCTCAGACAGCGGCAGGCCTCCCCGCGAGTCTGGGTCAAACACACCGGGGTAAACCCCAGAGCGCATCTGGAAACGGCCGGTCAGCCGGGCTGCCCTACAGGCGAGGGCTCAAAGAGAGAGAGAGGAGACAAGCGTCACACCGGACACAGCACAGGCTGCGGTGCTCAACCTCCACAGAGGGTGACCCATTCCTCGGGACCTGCCGCCTCCCCTGTCTGCTGGGACACGCGATCGGTCCCCTCATAGAGCAGCCAGACCTGTGGGCCTCCTGGGGCACGGCAGGCTTATCAACCACCCGCTCCTCCCAGCACTGCAACTCCCTAGCTGGGTGCCAAGCCCTGTCTCGACGCTTCCTCCATCCCCGCCCCGGGGCCCTGCAGCAGTCGCCAGCCAGCGGGGCGGGAGCAGCGGGGACGTACCGGGACGGGCTGCACACCGGGGAGCTGCTGTAGAAGCTGGTGAACCGCAGCCCTCGGGAAGCCATCCGGTCCAGGTGGGGCGTGCCAGAAGACGGGTGCCCGTAGCTCCCCAGGTCCCCGAAGCCCAGGTCGTCCGCCAGCAACAGGACGAAGCTGGGGCGGGCGCCGGCCGCTCCGCGCAAGGCCAGCAGCACCAGGGCCCAGGGCAGGCCCCGGCTCCGCGGCCCCATGGCGCCGCCGCCCGGGGAGGCCCG